ATACTAAAAAACAGATATATTTAGTTGCAACTCATTTGTAAAAGTACTTAAAGATAATAACAACTAAATGTTGAAAGTCATAGTATTTATAAATATTTAAAATTGTTGATATTTGATAGTAAAGAGACAACTATGATCATAGTTACTTCAAAATAGGGAAATTTTATTAAACTTTGAGTGGATACTCAAGGGTCCCCAACAACAAATGGTTTCAACTTGCTAAATCATCCCTCATTCATAGGGATGTGCTTTTATCCCCAAGCTCACTCATGACTGCCAGCCATGAGGTTATGTTTATACATGAGCATAAAGGAGAAAGAAGTTCAAAATCCAAGAGTTTGTTTTATGACTTCTGCCTGCCTCCTCTTCACTAGTGTCTAGTTAGTAGATCCCAATACCATCAAGGGAATTTGGATTTGAGTTTCTTTTTCTGTTATAAAACATCCCAATTCTGTGAGACATGAACATTGGCAGCCTTTAGACACTGATTCTCCTTTACATTTCCAATTTCATGATCCTCCAATAGTTTTCCTGGGAGCTCCTCACATTGTGAATGATGAACTAGAGAATGGTGGGGAATCTAAGGAAATGGGGATGAAGCTGGATCTGCACTTCCTATGATTAACATATGATTAAGATAACTTCTGTATTCGTTAATATCATTCCTCCTATAGGAAGAATAGTATATGGGTGAGAATAATATTTATAATTGATAGTCTCTAAAGATTGTGTGCTAGAGGCTGAGGATATATTAGTGAACCACAACAAAAACTCAGCAGATCTAGTTAGTAAAGAGTTGAATTTAATGAAAGAGGGAAAAGGAAATAATAAATAGGTACAGTTGAATGTTCAGCTTCAAACTGTGTTCAGTACCACAAATAAAAACATCAGTAAGTCCTGAAAGGAAAAACATGGTCTAGATTTCTTCTATATTCTCCTCAGGCCACACAGGGGTATAGGAACTAAGAAAGCATTAATATATGTCATAAGCCCTTGATACAGAGATTCCTACCATACTTCCTGCTTCACTTTTTTGTCCTGAATGAGCTGTGGGCAGTCAGCACTAAATGGGACCTTTTCATAAGCAGTTGGAAGCACTTAAGACGATGAAGTATGTATGTTATCTTTGTCCCTTCATCCATCTCTATGAGTTCCCTATTTCCTGGGCTTGTTTCTTTTCTGTTTCTAAAAGCTGCAGATCCTTTTTCTAATTAATCATGAAAGAGCATACTTTTTAAATCTAATCATAGAGAGTATGATTAGATTTAAATCTAATCATAGAGAGTATGCTTTTTAAATATTTCCCCCCTTTCCAAGTGTAGTTCACACAAGAACTTGGTAGTGAAGCTGTTGGGCTCTGATGGGTAATAACATCAATGTAGAATTGTTAGTGACTCTACTTTTTTTGTATCCAATTTGGGGCAAATGACTCAGCTTTTATTTCTCCTATGTAGGATGGAAATATTAATAGTACATCTAGCAAGTAGTTATTTATTGGGTTAATGGAATCCATCAATGAATCAATCAATCATCTGCTACTGCTCAGTTACTTCTGAGTATATTCGTGCTTTCCAGCTGAATTGTGTCTGAGCATCTCCTTTCTCAACCAAAGCCCCTTAGCAATGGAGATTTAAAATATTTCCCTATAAGAGAATTATGCATCTAACAAAAGATTTCAAATTGTAATGCAAATGCTATAACTAATATTCTGAAGGTCTTAGGCTACACATCACTCAGCAAGCTAATTACCAACTCCCCTTAGATAATTCCCAAAGTATTTATGTTCAGTATCATTGCCATTTTTTCCAAACTTTTTTTTCAGACTTTCCTTTCCTTCTCTAAACATTAGGAAATTGTCCTTAAATCTTTTCACCAAATTACAACAAAGTCTTCTAGGTATTCAGTAAAGCCAGACACTGGCCCTGATTGGGGTAGTGATGAGAAGGGACCATTATTATCCATCTGTATGGGTATAAGGATTGTTTTTCTAACACCCCAATGGTATGTAATGAAGTGAATATTATGTAAAATACAGTTTTTAAAAATTCTCTACAGGTATATTTTCTGGAGACCAATTTTATTTAACATATTTGTGTGGCAAGACAAATTTCCAACTATACTGATATCTCCTATTCATTCTATCATTTATCTTTTTTTAGATTACACATTTTCTTCTTTGGAGAACTATACTGTCCTCAACATGGAATGGGATACTGAGACACAAAAATGGACAAAAACAAACCCTTTCCTGTCCTCATGAAGTTGACTCACTGAGGTCTAGTAGGTCCCACATCTACCTTAGCAAGAGGTTTTCATGACTCTAAATCATGGAATTCTTTATTCCTGGTAGAACAACCAATCTTATTCCCTGAGAAAGTCTCACTCCTAAGAAGAAACTTCTGTCTTGAGCAGAGTCAAGCCTCTGCTCCACATAGTCTGTCCTACACTTTCATCTTCTTGCCTCTAGGGGTCATGACAGAACAGCTTGGGGACAATAGAGTGTTTACATGTCAGTAACAGACTATATTATAATGGAAAGAGTCCAAGCTTTAGAATCAGAATATAATGAGCTTTAATCTGAGTTTTAGAATCTCATGGCTTCAGTAATAATTTTTGCAAACTTCTGCTTCATTTCCTTCTCTACAACACCAGGAAAGTAATCCCATATAGCAGAGTGGTCCTGAGAATTTGAGCTCATGTAGTAGGCATTCAAGTTTGTGTTCCCAGGGTCACCGGTACAGTATTTCTGAGAATGGATCTAGCCATCACAGCCCGTAGGACTAAAATCACAATGAATGGATGACGATGACATTCCTCCATGTTTTTATAAGGAGATCCATCTTATGAACTTAATGTCTCTCTTTATTACCGTTGTTGAAATGGCAGGACACGTGTTTGTGTTCTGGTTTCTGGACCAGAGTGCTTCCATGGGATCACCTCCTCCACGTATATTCATAACTGGCTATGGAAGACTTTTTTCTTTGCTGCCACATTATAAATACTGTGATAAATTTCATCATCTCTTTCTATATAAGCCACATCTACATTCACAGCTTTTTTTTCTTTGTCACACTATGGACCTTGGCTATCTTACAGGCCTTCACAGGGTTAGAATCAAGCATTGCCAGTCCATCATTTGGTGCATGTGGTGTCACTGTTACCAGTTGAGCCACGTTACCTATCACATGTATCTGACTATGTGTTGGTCCCCGCTGCCAAGCATCCTCTGAGGGTGCTAGAGAGGCTTCCTGTTTATAGAGTTAGATGAAAATTAGTGTCAGATATTTGATTTCATCTTATCAACCTGACAAGCAGGATATGTATATACATATTTTTAATTTGTGATTCTCTCTGAGTACAGCCTGGATCTGTCAGAATCTTCTGTCACTCTAGAGGGTAGAGATATCAATGACTAATCTGTATGTGGCCATCCTACTCAGAATGCTGCTTTTCCCTATCTGATATCTTCTTTTAGCCAGCCAGAGATTCATATTACTTTGGTTTGAAACTAGTACTGGTACAATCTTTCAGTATGATTTTTCTATTCCATCCAACTTGTCCTGTGTTAACAGCTGTGCTAACTCATCATTTACTTCTTTGTTGGACCCAATAGGTAGGGATAATGCAGACTCTCCAGCTGGTTCTCTAGAGGGTTACGCAGAAAAGTCCCAAAGAGGAAAAACATAAATATAGCCATCCTCAAGGAATCCTGGAGATGTAGCAATGATGGAGAACTGCTTTAATTGGGTATATTTGTTTTCAGAGTCAACTTCTCCCAATCAGCTTGGGAAATCTTAATTTTTCTCATTCATGGCCCCTGATCTTGAAACAGCTATGATAACAATCATCTTCTGAGACTTATGTGATATAGGGCCTCTTACACATAAAATTTGCTGTAGTATCTTTGGGACTGTCTTAGCCAGGGGCTTTACCAACTCTGATTCAGGACTCTTCTCACTTTTTGGCAAACCTTTCCTTCACCAGAAGGTTGAAGATAATGCATTTCTTTGATAACTCCATTTGATAAATAAATTTCACAACTTTTCCCCCATTTTCCTACAACTTGTCTCAAAATGATAAGCATTAATTTCAAACTCATTCTAGAAGAACAACCTTTAAATCTGGGAGTTCTTATAAAGCCTCATCTCCTTAGCTTAAAAAATATTATGGGGGCTGGGAAGGTGGCTCAGTGGTAGAGTGCTTGCCTTGCATGCATGGGGCCCTGACTTCGATTCCTCAGCAGAAAAAGCCAGAAGTGGCGCTGTGGCTCAAATGGTAAGAGTGCTAGCCTTGAGCTGGAGAGCTGAGGGACAGTGCCCAGGCCCAGAGTTCAGGCCCCATGACCAACAAAAAATATTATGGAATAAATGACTTATTAGACAAATACAACTGATGCTTTCATAATATAAGCCTGTATTCAACCTCCATTTATCAGTTTTGAGTCACCATCATTAATCCTTCTACCATTTTCAAGTTAATCAAGCATTAAGTCATATAAACAGATAATGTCCACATATGCCTAATGCGGTTTGACTGTTTTGTATGGTTTCTTTCACATGTCCTCTGTTAGAAGCCCAGCTATTTCTCTCCCCTTTGACTTTGCCCTGATTTACCCTGATTCTATTGCTCTCTGATCCTCCAATGCAGGTTTACAAGAGACTTAACAGTCTTCGTGCAAGACTTTGTATGTCAAATTTTCTTTTCTTTCCTTATGAGCTCATAACATTGGCTTCATTCATTATTTTTACACAAATATTTTAGCTAATAATTCTATGAAATAGTATATTAATCTTAAATGGTACATTTAAAAATAATTTTAGGATAATCTTTAATTAAGGAAAAATTGAGCTGTAGTGATATACAACAATAAGTGTAAAGTTGATGTATTTTGGCAAATGGATATATCCAGGCAAATTAAAAACCCAGTGACCCAGTGCCTGGCTTCATTGTTTATTATAGCCATATAGAACAATCTCATACCATTTGGTTGTGCCACCTAGGTTCACTGTTGTCTATGAACAGACACATAGAACAGGGAGGTAAACCAGATGAAGTGAGATTGGGGTGAGGTGGGATGGGAGGAATTGATGTACAAGTGGAAACTGGGCAGATACCCAGATATCTCACAGATATCTGTGAGGATCCTGACTCAAAATGGCTCTCATCTCTGACTTACTTCCCCAGACCTTGATGTCCTAATCACAGGAGCTGTCCAGAATATTGAGAAGTTCCACTTCATCACTAGGCTTCACTCCAGAACCTCCAGGCTTCTCTTGATTTGTAGAAAAAGGAAGCATACATACTCTGACATTGGGCAGAAAAAAGCTCTTCCTCTTCACTTTGAGTCAACTCTTCAACTGTGCACAGAAGAATGGATGGAAGGTAAAGTGGTATGCAAGATAACCCAGTTCCCAATAATAACATTTGCACGGAGTTAACACCCTTATATTTCTACATTGAAGTGATATATGCAGCATTATGATAGGCTATTTCCTTCAGAAAAGGTAGGAGACAGGAGATCCTGAAAACAGTTCAGGAAGACCTGAAGGTTGCACTTTCAAATGAGTCAACTAGACCAACTAGAAAGTCTAGCCAACTAGATTTTTCTTGCTGTATTCTCTCTTTTAACCATTCAAATCTTTATCATAGAGATCAGGAATGCTGCCTCTTAAATCCATATAAGTAGCAAAGTGACACAAAAATATTGTTTCTTAGAGCTTAAGTTTTCATTGTTTTACTAGCTTACCAAAGTTACTCCCTTTGACATGTTTTAGAAATATGGAAGAGAAAGTTAGCTCAGACTGGAATACTTGAGTAGCATTACTTTATATATTTACAAAGGGGAGAGTTAATGAAAACAGGCAATGATAGCTGGTTTAGACAAACAACAGTGAAACACTATTCCAACACATAGGCTTAAAGGGATAGGGGAAGAAGCTGTCACCAGAAAGCATAGTGCTATACACACTTGAAGCATTACAAGAGAATAAGCAAGGGGGGGGGGAGGGGTAGAGAAACCCTGATATTACTATACACAGCCTCACATGAAACAAAACAACTCTTTCTAAAAATTTTTATTTTAGGGGCTGGGAAGGTGGGTCAGTGGTAGAGTGCTTGCCTTGCATGCCTGAGGCCCTGGGTTCGATTCCTCAGCACCACATAAGCAGAAAAAAGCTGAAAGTGGCGCTGTGGCTCAAGTGGTAGAGCACTAGCCTTGAGCTGAAGAGCTGAGGGACAGTGCACAGGCCCAGAGTTCAGGCCCCACGACCGGACCCCCCCCCAAAAAAAAATTTTTATTTTATTGTAAAGATGCTGTACAGAGTGGTTACAGTTACATGAGTAAGGTAATGAGTACTTTTTTTTTTGGCCGGTTGTGGGGTCACTTTTATAGAACATTTATCGTGTTATTGAAAAATGCCTTGGATATGAATGGTAGAAAAAAGAAATACAATTTATTGGTTAGATATCAGTTTGGATAACCCAATAAAGAACCACTATAATAATGGCCATAACAAAAAGTGCTTTAGAATTGGGCTATAGACTCTAAGTAAACTCAAGAACTTCTTCAAATATGCTGCTCCCCAAACCCCAAATTGAGTCTTCTTTGAAACAAGAAGAACACTAAATGTTTCCAAATAGGCTCAAGAGAATATTAAAAACAGAGAATATCTAATAAAGTTTCAATAAGCTGCTATTATTCCCTTGTGTGGACTTTCCTCTTTCTCTACTTGATATCTCTATTTGATATCTGCATCTCTCTTTGTAACATTTATACTGCACTTTGTATGCTCACCCACTCATCATTTTCTTTCAGACAGAAGCTTTCATAAACAAAGAAAGTCTACTAAGGATATCCTGGGAGAGAAGGGAATAGGTTGAAATGTGGGTAGGATTATATACTCTGCAGCCCACCACTTAATCATTCTCCACAAGCACTCTGTATTTCAAATACCTCTTTTTAGAGGCACTCAGTCCTCACTCTACCTTCATACTTCCTCTTCTGTACTGCTGAAAACTTCAGCTTCGTTACCAGCCTTCCTCAGGCTCTGTGTCAAAAATGCTTGTAGGTATTGTGCAGATTCATAATAAGTCCTCCCTCTGAAGCCCTGTCAGTGGTCAGAAGCAGTCATTTGGGCCCACTGTAGAGTTCTTCACAAACATAATTATGCCGAGTGAAGTTTTCTTCTTAATGTTACATGCATCAGTTGTAATTCTTTTTCATTTATTTTCATTTTTATTTTCTATTTAGTGCAAATCATCCAATATGGTAGGAATTCTCCTGTTTTTTTTTCTTTTGTTGAAATAATATTGGGAACATACAGGTCTAATAAACACAGGTGGGAATAGAACATGTGTTCCTCCTGTCTTCAAAGGCTGGCATTGAAGACACTTTTAGACCACCAGTTTTAGTAATCGTCATGAATGTCCAAGACATAGTTCGTAGTGGTCCTAACTCAAGGTTTCCTTTTTCTGTTCTGGAGGGAACACTATTAGTTATAGAGGTACCATGATCACCTTTGTGACTATAGCTCTAACTCCTTGAGTGGAAGTGTCTGGATCATAGAATATTTCCATATTATTTAGAGGACCTGAGGTGGAGAATAGATGGCTCAGACTGCAGAGTCAAACAAAAATGATTTGAATTCATACTGCAGGACCCCTCAAGTTTTGACAATTCACTTAATCATTTCAATCCTTTTTCCCCAACTTTATATAATAGGGACAGTAGTTTCCAATAACAAGATAAGATGGTCTTGAGAATAGGGATCATATGGTAGACTCTCAAATCTTGTTTGTGTTCTCAGCAGCACCAGTGGTGGTTTTGTGAGCCAAGATCCAACCAGTCCATTCCAGTGGACAGAAGCCACAACAGTGAATGGAACTGACCAGTTCTGTGAAAATCATTTGGTCCTGGAATTGGTAAACCTCATCATTGCCCTTGTTGGGCTGGCAGGAAATGCAGTTGTGCTCTGGGTCTTAGGATTCCAAATGCGTAAGAATGCCATTTCAGTCTATATCCTGAACCTGGCTGTGGCTGACTTCCTGTTCCTCATCTGCCTCATTATAACTAACATGCTGTTTGTCATTGACTTATCCTACTCATTCTCTGGCCCTGTGAGTGCCATCTTAACCAATGTGGCAACCATTCCCTACATTACAGGACTGAGCATACTTAGTGCCATTAGCACTGAGCGATGCCTATCAGTCTTGTGGCCCATCTGGTACCACTGTCACCGCCCAAGACATATGTCAGTAGTCATATGTGCCTTGCTCTGGGCTTTGTCTCTGATCCTGAACATTCTAGAATGGTACTTCTCTGGCTTTCTAGAACTATTTTATGATAGAAAATGGTGGGAAAATGTTGATTTTATCATAACTTCATGGCTATTTATTTTATTGATTATTCTCTCTGTGTCCAGCCTGGCCTTAATAGTCAGGATGTTCTGCAGTTCTAGGCGGTTGCCACTGACCAGGCTGTATGTGACGATCTTGATAACAATGATGGTCTTCCTTATCTGTGGGCTGCCTTTTGGCATTTTCTGGTTCCTCCTATGGTGGCTTCCAATTTCTTTTTATCATAACTCTTGTTATCTTTTTCCAGTTACACTTTGTCTATGCTGTGTTAATAGCTGCGCCAACCCTGTTATTTACTTCTTCATTGGATCCTTTAGGCAACAGCGGCAGCGGCGAACCCTCAAGCTAATTCTCCAGAGGGCTTTGCAGGACACTCCTGATGTAAATGATTACAGAGGCAGCAATTCCCAGAGAACCCAGGAGGAATTAGAAAGCAGAAGGTTAGAGTGACCCTCGAGCCTCTGTCTTGATCAGACAGATGTGACTTTGAAAGTCTGTACTAGACTCATCTTAGACTCTTGCTTTAGAAATGTCTCAGTGATTTTGCAATGCCTTCAAATAGAACATTTTTGCCTTTTTTTAAAAAAAGAAAATTAAAAATAAAAACATCTCCACAGTTTTGAAATTATCAATAGAGGGCTGGGAAGTTGGCTTAGTGGTAGAATGCTTGCCTGGCATGTATGAAGCCCTTGGTTCTATTCCTCAGTACAACATAAACAGAAAAAGCCAGAAGTGTTGCTGTGGCTCAAGTGGTAAAAGTGCTATTCTTCAAATTCCCTCTAAATATTTCTTTTTAAAAATTATTAGTTCCATGGTTTTAAAAAAATGTTTGTTATCTTTAAGTAGTTGTACAAAAGAGCTGTCATTTAACCAAGCAGTTTATGGATATGATAAATCATGATCAATGTCACCCCTTGCAACGTTCTCACCCATATTTCTTTTTTTTTCCTTTTGAACCAGACATTTTATTTCTTTGTCACTCATGTCTTATCAAATGCTTTTCTTTTTTTATTTCAGTGGAGGAATACCTATCCCAAATCATATTCTCGAATTTATAAGCATTTTCTATAAAAATGCAATAAAAATAAAGATTCCTTACTTTTCTCCCATGCTATGTTCCCCAGAGAATTATATTACGCCCCTTGAATTGAGACAGTGCTGCAGTTAGAAACTTGGTTCCAAAGGAGTGAACTTTGCTGCATCACAGAGTTTTCTAGCATCAAGAGAAACAATTTCCTTAGAGACATTGTGCTTCCTGTATAAGAAAAATACATAAAATTTGAATTTTTATAAAGTCTTTTGCTGACATTTTTCTGTTGCATGGTGATAAGTTAGCTTCGGATTCAGGCACACAAAGCCATGGCATATGCCTTCCCCATCTGGTTATTTAACTCTTTACTTACCAGAATAAAGTCTAGAAATGCAGCTAGCCAGTTGCATGTATGTCTGTCAATCTTGAGTGTATGCGATATGTCACAGGAGAATATGTTGATTCCATGCTGACCTACTAATAGGCCTGGGCCATATGCCCATCTCATGCAATCCAAGCAAGTACTGAGGTTATTGTTTTTCTCAAATCTATATCAATGCCATTAGAGATCTGGAATAGACTTTCAGATCAAGAGAGTGAGATTTGACTTTGATAGTCATGGACTCAGGGCACCACCAACATGAGTTAAGTACTCCCAGACACTCAGGTCTCTGTATTGTGACTATGATCACAGTGAGAAGCAGCATGAAGTGTAAAGATACGACTGTGACATGCTTTCTGCAACCTGATGTGCTGTGCATGAGGTAGTCTGTATATTGTCAATATACATATATTGTGAAAGTACATAGAACTTGGTTGCTGTTTACCAAAAGATTAGTGTAGCACTCAAACAAGAAATCTTCTTAAAAAGCACTTTCTAAACTTCAATCATCTCTTTAGTATTGAAAAAAATCACAGAAACAAAAAAGACTATGAGAAGACCTCAGCGTGTGCATGGGTAGTGATGGAAAGTAATAGTGAAAGATAACTTCCCAAGCATATCATCTCTGACACATTTGACAGATACATAAATATTTGAACTCATTGAGGAAAGATAAGAATCCAGGTAGACATAAAAAGAAAGTTATAATGGCTTATTGTTTTTGTAAATGTGCTAGGGACTGAATCTGAGGCTTCATGGAACTAGGCAATTCACTGCCACTGAGATTTTGCTTGTTTATTTGTGGTGCCGGGTGTTGAACTCAAGCCCTTGTACATGTCAGGCAAATACTCTACCATTTAGCTGCATTACCAGGCCTCACAATGCCAGGTTAATAAAAACCATAGAAATAGCTTGAAAAATTGTTTTCAAAATGGAAATAATTACTTAGTTATGGTTGAAAAATCTCTCTTAAGGAAGATATAAGACCAGAAGGCTGTGAGCATTGAGTTGCTCTGTCATGGCCTTGAAGCGATAAGGATCACTGTGTGTTTTGTAGATTAGTTGGAAATAGACTTACATTATGGACAAGTCCAGAAAAAGCCAGATAGATTACCTTAGCAAGACAAGTCTAAAGGCAATGAATTGTTCTCCCTGTCTTTCAGGGAAGTGTTTAACTTGATAGGATCCAAAAAAAAACCAGACAAACAAACAGAAAGATGGAACAAGGAGAAGTATGTTGCAGAGAAGAGATGACAGTGACTAGGAATGATGCTACTTCTATAGTACAGTCTTTTGTGCCTTCCATAGGGCCAATATTAGGAACAGAGGAGAGAGGTCATCTTCAAATTAGGTTGAAATTTAACCCCTGATATAAAAAAAACCCAACTCCAAGTATTTTATTGCCTTGGGATGAATAATGGCTTTATGAGTTGGTAGCCTCACAGTCAAAGACTAGATGAAAATTTGTACTTCTTTCAAAATGTGGTGTCCACTTTATGGAATCAGCCTAGATGCCATCAGTGGAATTCTATCCATCCACTAAGAAGAATGAACTGTAAGGGGAAGAACACAATGGTATAATGTATATGTACCTCTGATCATATAAAATAATATTTATTGAAATGAACTCCAGGAAATGAAAACAAGAGGCTTACCCTTTGTTGTTGTTGTTGTTTTCTTTTATTTTTGTCTTGTTTGTTCATTTATCTGTCTTTGGGAGGGTAAGGGGAACAGAGAAATTGAGGGATAAATGGTGAACAAATGCAGCAGTGGTACTCATTAGACACTATGATGAAAATGAACTATACAACTTGTGGGTGGGGACAGGAGGGAAAACTGGGAGAGAGAGGGGGAAGGGGTGACATTATCCAAAGAAAAATGTATTCTTTACCTGACTTATGTAACTGTAACTCTTCTGTATATCACTTTTATAATAACAATAAAAATTTTTAAAGAATGAAATTATACTTGTTTACTTAAACATGGATCTTGACAAGTGCAGTATGACACATATCTTATGTTCCCTCTCATTTGTGGAAGATAGTGGGTAAAGAGCAATACAAGGAGTGAAAAAGATCAAAGTGTATTGTATAGGAAAGTCATGATGATGCTATTTTACTGTGTACAATTAATATATGACAATAAATACAATAATTATAAAAGAAACACATTGTCCACAGCATCTTCATATTTAGGTTAAATTTCTCTCAGCCTACTCATATGAAGTGATATATATCAGCTTCAAAAGTTCAAGTAAGCAGAGAAATGATACAAGTCTGAGCCTTTAAAGAGTATTTAAAATCCTACTTCTTTACTTTAGAGGATAATTAGGAGAACATGGAAAAATTTTAATATTCTTCATTTTTTGGCAGGTAGGCGTATGATTGTTATAAAAATGTCTCATTTAAATGCAAGTATACATTCTCAGCTATCACAGGCAATTTTGTTCTTGTATGAAGATAGCATGTGGTTTATATTACTCTCACTGGTAGAACCTACAGTTACACGTAGGTTATAGTTATGGTCTATAATCTATTTTCCCTAACTCCATGAAAGGAAAATAACTCAGGAACATATAAAACTCTACTTCAAGGACTGGTTCTATCCTCAATCATGAGAGCTACTCTATCAACTTCTGTTTCTCTGCCCTTTCTCTAGATTGACACTAAAGCAAGACCTAACATCTCTGGGATATAACATAACCTCAAACAACACTGGGAATCAATTTAAAAAACACATTTCCTTTTTTCAAGAAAGTGAGATCATTGCCCAAGTAAACCCACCCAATAATGAAGGCATCCAAGCGGATGAAATGTGGTGGATAAGACAGCACTTAGCAGTGGGGTCAGCCTAGAGTTAATGTGCACTCCTCTGCACCTGATGGATATATAACATTGTCCACTCTGAGGCTTTTTCTCATTTTTAATGTGTTCACAAAGATCCATCTGTTACTGGAACTAATGATATTCATCTTTGCAGAGTTGCCAAACAAATCTTACTGGAACAGGTGATATCTCAAGAAGGAGGCCTCCAAAGCCTAGCCCTTGGAGATAGAGTTTGTGATGTCTCAAAAAAAAAAAAAGAATTTGAGAGCATGGTGAGATAGATAACAATAAATTTTATTAGTAAACAACGGAAATGAAAATTTAAAAGGATAGGGCACAATCTCAGACATAGGTGTTGGTTTATATGATAACAGGTACAGTGAGTGTTCTAGCATTGTAATTATTTATGGTGAAAAAGTGGGTTGGAGGTTTGACTGTAATTTGTCTTGGGGTGAATGCATCTCTTTGTTCTGGACACCTGGCATATTCCACCATTGCTACCATACTGGCTTATCAAGTGAGCCCAAAAATTTCCAAGATTGAACTGTTTGCTAAATTTTAGGACATAAAGACCTTGTTATCCAAGTATCCCTGTAAGGCAAAGGATAATTTTTGCCAGATGCTCTCTGCAAGAGAGATGTCCATTTTGGGGATACATGTTTTTCTTTCCAAACATGAGAAGTCATTTCCCCAAGTTTTTTTGTTACTTTTCTATTTCTTTTTCCAGGCTATAGGTCGTTTTCTAAAATACCCTCTTTCAGCCGCAGAGCACACTGATCATTTGGGCAAGGTCCAAGGCAGGAATCTGTTCTATTTCCTTCTGTTTTCTTTTCATTGAATGTTGCCACTTACTAAGGCAGGGGAAAGCTTAAAGCAAAGAAAATGACACTTACATGGTTTTAATCATGCCTTGGCAGCCCACATTCCTACCAGCATTCAGGTCCTCAAAAGATGCTCACATCGTTTAGTATTGGTGGTCAGCTGGCAGCAAGAAGCCACAAAACATCTTACAGGGAAGTTGACTAATGGGGTGATGATGTATAGAGGCTGAGAGATAGAAGTCGACTAAGATAAAATGTTTAGCAACAGTGTGCAAGGAACAGGACTCAATAGTCTCCACACTCTCATTTGCTGGTAGGTTCCCAGACAAAGAACCACAGAGATGTCCTTCATCTTGACGAGTCACAGGATCACCACAAAATCTCCAGGGCAG